CTGTCCAGTTAATCTCAGAGAAGATTATTTTTAAGCCTTGAGAGTTAATGTAAATATTGTAATGTTGGGGTTTTTTTTTTTACTTATTTGGTGCCTGTTATCCCTTCTTTCCCTCCAATTTCTCTCATTTGTAATGAAAATGCCTACCTTATACCAGTTCTATTTTACTTTGGAAGCAGATGACTTGTATTGTAGATTAACAGATGATGAGGAATTTTGCCCTAGGATGAAATTTGGACCTGGAGCTTATTTAAGATTTTTGGGATGATATGATGGTTGAAGTGTTTTAATGAAACAAGGACATGAACTTTGGGGATCCAAAAGGTGAAATGTTAGAGATTGAACTATGTCCCTGAAAAATATATATTAACTTGGCGGGGTCATAATTCTCAGTAGTTCAGCAGTTATGAGATGATGTAATTTGGCAGTTATGTAATGATGTAATTAAATATCAGCCAATCAATTATAAGTGGACTGGGGTTACAGCCCTGATCCAATGAAAGGAGAGTGTACTAATTAAAGTTGTGTGTCAAGGTGGGTGGGCCCTGGTTTTAAGTGGCTTAGCAGCTGGATGTGGTTATTCTCCATTATGAGATTGTTGTTATTGTTGTTGTTATGTGCCGTGGAGTCAGACCCAACTCATAGTAGCCCTTGGGTTTCCGAGGCTGTATCACTACAGAAGTAGACTGCTCAATCTTCCTTCCAAGGAGTGGCTGGTGGGTTTGAACTGCCAGCCTTCTGGTTAGCAGTCATGTGCCTTAGGCACTACCACTACGCTACCAGAGCTCCCACTATGAGTTTGGATGTGGTGTAATCAATTCCATAGTGGAATCTGCTGTGAACAGCTAAGTAGTTTCCTTCTGGGTGTGGCCTGCTTCCAGTATATATGAAAAAGCTTTGAGAAAGGCTGCTAGCTTTTAGGCATATTATGGATCCAGTATTTGGCCGAGTCTTCATCTTGAACCAGTGGCCTGCTATGCTGCCTGCGGTTCTTAGGGTGGTTCCTGGACTTGAGCCAGTGGCCTGCTGTGTTGCCTGCTGATCTTGAGATTATGCCATTACCTGCTGACCTAGGGTTCATTGGCCTCAACAGCCTGCAGCTGCATGAGTCAGATGAAGCCTCAAGCTCCAATGGGCCTGGAACGAGAGGCAAAGCTGAAGACCAAGGTCAAGAGGCCTTCACTCAGGCCTTAGATCCAGCACTCTGAATTCAGGCTTCAAATCTCCTAAACTGTAAGAGAATGAATTCCTGTTTGTTAAAGCCATTCACTTTGTGGCATTTCTGTTATAACAACACTAAAGAACTAAGAAAGAATTTGGCATCAGGAGTGGGGTGCTACTTTAACAAATACCTAGAATGTGAAAGTAGGAGCGGAGCACATCCTTGGACCCAAGATCCCTGTGCTGAGACTGGCAGAGAGATGATGGCAGCTGAGTCAAGAGAATGGCACAAGACAGAGTGACAGGCTTGCTAGCGCATGGAGCAAGAAAGTTGAATATCTTTGGGCAGGAAGCTTCCTAGCAGAGTGGGTTGCCACTGGCACTAATTGGTAGAGCCGAAGAGCTTTGTCATAATTGCTGGAACAGGGCAGATGCAAGGCTGGCTTCTTCAAGAAACCAAGAAAAGGAAGCAGAGTTGCCTCAGTCTCAAAGGGTAGGACCATGGCCTCTGGGATTTCAAACAGTGGATCTACCACAGCTTCCTAGGTTTCAAAGAGTCAGATCTTTATCAACTCAGTTCTGAGTGTGGGGCTGCTGTACATTAGTGCCAGTGGGATGGAGCCATACCTGCTGCCCAAAAGTGTGTGTGTGTGGGGGGGGGGAAGGTGCTTCCATGACAAACAGGCAGAAGAATGGAGTCTCCCAAGCTAAGGTGGTGAGGTCATCACTCAGATGGACCAGAAAAATTGGGCAAACCAATGAAGGAGATTGGTGCCAAGTTGACAAGGGGTAGAATGTGGTAAAGTGTGTTAATTTGGCTGGGCTGTGTGTTTTGAATGACTTGGCAGCTGGATGTGGTTATTCCCCATGATGACACTGGATGTAGTGTTATCAACTCCATAGTGGAATTTGCTGTGAGGAGCTAATTAGTTGCCTTTAGTATGTGACCTGCTTCCAGTATATATGGAGAAGCTCTGAGAAAGGTCATTAGGTTTTTTGCGCATTCTGAATCCTGCATTTGGCCGAGTCTTTAACACCAATTCCTTGACTTGAACCAGTAGCCTGCTTTGTTGCCTGCCGATCTTGGATTGTGTCATTTTACCCGCCAACCTTTGGTTCATCAGCCTCAACAGTCAGTAGCTGCATGAGTCAGATGAAACTTACAGCTCAGGTGGCCTAGAATAAGAAGCAGAGCTGAAGCCCAATGTCAAGAGCCTTCACCCAGCCCCCAGAGCCAGTACTCTGAACTCAGACTTACAGCCTCCTAAATTATAAAATAATTAATTCTTGTCTGTAAATCCATCCACTTGTGGTATTTCTGTTATAGCAGCACTAGAGAACTAAGACTGAGTTTCACTGAGGTGTGCCTGCACCGTCTTTTACCCTCCAAGAGATAAAAGAGAGAGAAGCAAGCAGAGGGACCTCTTACCTCCAAGAAGAGCCAGGAAGAGAGCATGTTCTTTGGACTCGAGGTCCCTGCCCTGAGGAATTCCTACACCAAGGGGAAGAATGATAACAAGAACTTGCCACAGAGCCAGAGAGAGAAAGCCTTCCTCTAGAGCTGGCAACCTGAATTCAAACTTCTAGCCTCCTAAACAGTGAGAAAATACATTTCTGTTTGTTAAAGTCACTCACTTGTTGTATTTCTGTTATATCGGCACTAGATAACTAAGTGTATACCTGCTTTTTTATGTGAACCAAGGCCAATGGTTCTATTTGTAAATATTTAACATGTCCATTTAATTGACTTTTTCCACATAATTTACAAATTTTTCAAATTTACTTTCACATATTGTTTTGGTTACCTAGTGCCGATCTAACAGAAGATACCACAAATGGGATGGCTTTAACAAACAGGAGTTTAGTCTTACAATTTGGAGGCTTTAAGTCTGAGTTCAAAGTGCCAGGCTCCAGGGGCTGGGTGAAAGCCCCTCAATCTTGGGCTTCAGCTCTGTCTCCTGCTCCCAGCCCACTGCAGCTGGAGGCTTTTCTTCACTCAGCTGCTGGCTGCTGAGGCTGACAAACCCAAGGTCAACAAGTAACAAGGCAAAGTCCCAATATTACCAAACCACACAGCAAGCCATTAATTCAAGTTCACTAAAAGTTCCAAGATCAGCAGAGCATAGGAGGCTGCTGAACAACAACATGGATACATGCAAGGTTCAAGCATGCCATAAGCCAGAGACCATTCCCAAAGCTGGTTCTTAAATAAACAGGAAGCAGACCACATCCCTAAAGCTGCTCGTGGTAGATCGCACCATGGAGTTGATTGCCAGTTTCATCATGGTGAATAACTACCACCAGCTGCCCAGCCACTCAACCAGGCCCAGCCAAGTTGACACACAACTTTAACTACCACACATACATTCAACATCATGTGTCTACATACTTATTTTTGAAGGAAATGCTTTAAACAAATACCTTTGTTGGCTTTCACTTTCTAAATTTTGAGAATGATATCTATAAAGTTAAATATATTATCATTTTAACTGTGACAAGGCAGTTTTATTCTATTTGTTTGCAGACATCTGGTGCCTAGCAAAACGTACTTACATTCATTAAAATTTCATTTTGTATTGCTAGCCATACATTTTATAATTCAACTTCAAAATTATGAATCTATAGATTTTTAGAGATTTTTTTTTCTATTTACAACATCTTATAAAAGTACTGCATCATTTTGTCATACTAAACCAAACCTAAACTAATTCCCGATGAGTCAATTCTGATTCATAGCAACCCTGTAGCAGAGAAGAGAACTGCCCCATAGGGTTTCCAAGACTGTAAACCTTTACAGAAGCAGATTGCCACATATTTCATCCATAGAACAGCTGGTCAGTTCAAACAGCCAATCTTCTGGTTAGCAGTCAAACACTTAACCACTGTGCCAACAAACTCATTGCCGTCAAGGCACTTCCAATTCATAGGAACACTGTAGTACAGAGTAGAACTGTCGCATAGGGTTTCCAAGGCTGTAATCTTTATCACAGACTAACACATCTTTCACTGGTGGGTTCAAATTGTCAACTTTTTGGTTAACAGCCAAGTGCTTTAACCATTGTGCCATCAGGACTCCTTTTCTCATACTAAAAAAAAAAAAAAAAAAAAAAACACCACTGCCATCAAGTCAATTCTGACTCACAGTGACCCCCATTTGTTTCCAAGGCTGGACATCTTTATGGAAGTACTTTGTCTTATCTTCCTCCCACAGAGCAGCTGGTGGGACCGCTGACCTTCCAGTTTACAGCCAAATGTCTTACCCACTGGCCTCTAAGTTCTCAGAAAACTGTAAAAGATTATAATTTAAAATACCAATAGAACAAATTCATTCCAGTCTCCCATGTCATATTCTCTTAAAAAGATAAAGCTATAGAGAAGAATTATTATTAAAATAAACATTAATAATTTAACTTCTAAATGTAATTGATTCAGATTTTACTATAATAAGGAAAGAACTGATTATTTTTACCAGTTACATTTAATTCCAAGTAGACAGAAATAAGAGTTATACTCAACAAAAATTTAATATTTTCAAGTTTTTTTGATAAAGAAATTTAAAACGTTCTAAATATATATGCCATATGTAAGAGTATAAAAATATGATGAAATGATAAATATCTAGTCCCTGTAGTTTTCACTAAAAGGCTTCATCATCTAGTTATTTGTGCCTTACAGTGTCTTCTAGATATATTCCACACATAGTCCCTTTTTTTCTCACAGTTAATCAAGAAAAAATTATTATAGCTAATAATGTGTAGAAGTAGCAGCAGCAGTAACAGTAATAGTATTAATTATAATATTTCAACTTTAAAAGTTTGTCAAAATTATATAGTTCCAACCTGGTCTCCAAAGTCCTCTGGAAATTTCCACAATACCACTGGATCTGTAAATAATTAACATGTATCATTGAGAGAGGCAAAAGAATAATGTAAAGTAACTGTCATGTTAGAATACTTCTTATATTATCCAAGTTAATTTAATTATACATTTTTAAATTTTTATTTAAATATTAAATCGATGAGTTTCACTTCATTTCCTTCAACTAATTAAACATTTTGAATTTTAAAATGTTTTAATTAACTTTGGCACTAGAACAAGTAAAATTAGTACTTTCAATAAAAGTTTAATTATGGCCTAAGAAGATCATAATTTCTTTTAGCACATTACTTTTTGTTAACTTACATTAGATTTTAAGATACTGAAACCTGAATTTTCCTATTTAATCACCTTTATAAAAATATTGCCTTTTTAAAGAGATGCAAATGAAAACAACAATGAGATACCATCTCACCCCAGCACTAACACCAAGTTCAACAAGACAGAGAATAACAAATGCTGGCAAGGATGTGGAGAAATTGGGACTCTCACACACACCTGATGGGACTATAAAATGATACAATCACTGTGGAAATTGGTATGGTGATTCTTTAAAAAGCTGGGAATAAAAATACCATTTGATCTAGCCATATTAATACTACATATATATCCTGAAGAAGTGAGACCCAGGACATGAATATACATATTCCTGCCCATGTTCACAGCAGCACTATTCATAATAGCAAAGAGATGGAAACAACCTAAGTGCCCATCAATAGAGGAATGAATAACCAAACTGTGGTATGCACATACAATGGAATACTATGCAACACTAAAGAATAATGTAGACTCTGCGTAACAGTGCATAATGTGGATGAATTTGGAGGACATTATGCTGGATGAAGTAAGTCAAACACAGAAGACAAATACTGTAGTAATCTACTATTATAAAAAGTCAAAGAAAGGTTTATACATGGAAGGAAACTAACTTTGTTGGTGACCAGGGACAGGAGGTGAGGGGAGGGAAAATTCCTAGATAGATTAAAATAATAGCAATAATTATTATCATATATATGTGCGTGTGTATATATGTGTGTATGTATATATACGTGTGTGTGTGTGTATAGCTCTGGTGGTGTAGTTGATAAGAATCCACTACAGTGGATTCCGACTCATAGCAACCCCCTTTGGGTTTGCAAGGCAGTAAATCTTTGCAGAAGT